TCTCCACTCGGACACTGAGCCATTGACCAAAACTCTCTGAGTACGGCCATTTAGCCAATTCCTTATCCAGCGAGTGGTCCTTCTGTCAAATCCATGTCCCTCCAACTTAGAGACAAGGATGTCATGTGGGACTGTGTCAAAGGCTTTGCACAAGTCCAGGTAGATGATGTCAGTTGCCCTTCGTAGAAGGTGACCAAATTTGTCAGGCATGATTTTTCCTTGGTAAATGCTCCTTCACTCAGTGGATCTTGAGATTCGTCAGTGTTCATTTCAAGTAGAGATTTTTTTAGAGACTTGTAACATCACAAAATTCAGATGGTATTTTATAGACATGGCAAAAATTATAAACTTGGCTACCACAATCAAAATCTTCATCCCAAAGCCTGGAGAAACTGAAGATCTTCAGGGGAAAAAGGATTTTCTTTTCCCCCCTTTTTTCCCCTACATTATCAAACTCCCGTTTGTATATTTAGCCTTCTTCTGACGAAGGACTGAACCTTTTTTGTTGCTATGAAAAAACTGTAGCCTGAAACAGACACCTTGCGTGGGTGATTGCCAGGTAACCAGTTTAGAATTCATAGAACTAGTTTTAAAGTGCTAACCTGTTCCTCCATTGTAATGAAGCTGTATGCCCTGTGTCCATAAATATCTATTCATATCCTGCAGTCTTGCATCCAGTATACTGGTCCTGTCCTGGAAATTCACACACTGATTCCTTTTCCAAACAACCATTGTCTTATTAATTGAAAATAAAGGAAGAAAATATGGAAGATCAATCATTTGGATACACACCAGTATTGCTGCATTTCTGGCCTCTGGCGTTACCCACTATATAATTCCATCTACGCTACTCTTTTCTAGATCAGCTGCTTAACAAATTAGTGGAGAATAACTAGCAAAAAATTGAAGGGAATGTAAAAGCATGATATCTGTGAAAATATAAAACAAGACTGTGTGAAGTGCTAAAAATATACAATAAAGAGTTTTCAGAGCAGCAATTTAAATGACAGAATCAGTCTTCCTTCTCTTCATTTTCTATTAATCTACGGATGAGTCAGTTTTGTCATCCCATTATTTTATATTCTTTTCAAGAAGCACCCTCTAGTTAACATGGAACTTTTTAGCAAACTCTAATTTCATCCTTTTCTAAAACATTCCCAGTATTTTTTTGCAAGGCTTCCTCCCCTACAGAAATGCCTTTTGGAGGATGTGCCATTAGTGGACATCTCCTTATAAGGGATTCCCCAAACTATCCTGCAGGAAAAGTATGCCATTTGAAATAAATTGCAAAATAAACTCCTTTTATCAATTCAACAGGTCTCCAGAGAACAAATGGCCCATAGCACCCTATGGCAACTCTGGTTCACTTGAAACTTCTCTGACAGGTGTCTCAGCTACATGACTCATGCTCTCACAAGGACAGCTCACATACAAGATTCACCATTTTGTATGACAGCAGACCAAAAGAACTCGGGCAAGGCCGCTGTTGTCCTTGGAAACAAAAATGTCTCAGAAGAGACAGTGCTTTCTCCATTCTGTTCCCCCCTCCTTTCTAAGCCACCACCTTCCTTTCTCTGATGCCAAAGCAGCATTGTAGTGTGGTCCAGCATAACATTTTTTCCTGTGTGTTGGGTTTTTTTTTGGTTTTTGTTTTTTTTTGTAGTCCACAAGACAGCCTAATGAAAGGAAGCCCACATGAAAGAAAAAACAGTAGATTAAAATAATGAGTCTGGCTCAGAAGGAGAAGAAACATTTTTACATCTCATAGCCAGTTTGCTATCCTTTGTGCAATACTCTAAGTTGTGATATATGATTTATTAATTTTTCTACTCATTTACACTTCATATTACAAGAAAAATTGTAAAGAATTTATAGAATACTGATTTATTTCATAAAAGATTTGCAGAAGAGTTAATAAGCCCTTATTTTGTGCAGAAATGTGGACATTGTGTCATTTAACAACACTGCTTCTGGAAGAGAAAATGCTGCAAACAGCCCTAAGACAGTCAGACGTACATCTTAAAAGACTGCATCTTGAACCAAGTTCTCCTATTCACCTGCACTGAACCGCATGCAGAATCACGCTAGCTGAAGATAATTTCTAAGAGTCTTTGAAGGTTTGGAAATGCTCTGCATGTTTAATATTTTACACCGGTCATCTATGAGAGCCTCAAGTATGTAACTCTTGGGAAGGCTCAGTGTACGACCGCCCTCTGATGGTAAGCATTTCTAGAGCTGTCACAGGGAGCAGCACAGCAGGCTAGGCTACATGCATAGTCCCCTAGGTAGAGGAATATGTCAGAGCTGGGCTCTTAGATTGAATAGGATGTAGGTATCAGCATACGCAACATCGACCTTTCAAATTTCAAGTTGGAAACAGTTGTTACACTCTGACCTCTCTGACAAAATGACAAAAGCATAATTTCTGCATTGTCTACACATTGCACTGGAGTTTTTGCTGCACTTTGCTACTGCACTCATCAGAATTTGGCACTGGGACTGACTCTCTCCCTCCTTTTGTACGCTGGGGTCTTCTAAATTCTGGCCTTATTGAGGGGCTGCGAAAAATGTTTTAATAGCCTCGTGTCTATCATGGTTTGAAACCAGCCTTTAGGGCAATGCAACTGAATAGTGCAGAGCAGTATTCCACCTGCTCTCATATACCCTTTTTCTTTTCCATTCCCACCTTACACTGGTCATATCCATCAGGGAGGACTAATACAGAATTACTCTGTTAGTCCTACATAAGGTAGGAGAAAACAGCACAGCACAGTGCTGCTGGACCAGTATAAAAGAGATGGCAATTCAGAGCAGAGTCTGTATCTTCAACTGCATGTTACACAATGACATAATTCTCAGGCAAAATATACAAATTCAAAAACCACTATCTTTTTTTCTGACTTGGGACTTAAGTCCTAGAACACTGAATACATATCAGTATCACTTTGAAATAGTTGCAGATAGATATGTCACACAGTTGTTTTGTTGGTTGCTGCATAGAAGGATTGGATGGTAGCTGCATCTGCAGCTTCAGTAAAGGAATATACATAAACCTTATTTTTCATAAAGACATCAAGTAATCAATTCTTTTGGGACAAGATGTACTTGAAAAATAGCTTCAGGACACCATAATTAATGCCCAAGTGAGGTAGGAATTACTATAATCACCTTCTCATACTATTATTTAACATACAATACTGGTTTTGAAATTCTGCAACATGCTTGAGTTTCTTGCCTTTGAAAGTTCACACTTACAAAGAAGGTAAACTGTCAGCATCTAGCCCATAAACGAAGGCATGCCCTTATGAACCCCTCCTACAAAGTCAGACAATATACTCAAAGGGCAATTCATATACTTGTATTTGTTGCTGCAAAGCAGAGTGGGCTGGCAACTACAGAGCCAGAATTCCAGAATATTTCCATCCCTGCTGCATGTAGATGAGGGTGGAAAAAGAAACAGAATTGATAATACTTAGAAATATGATGATTTGGATATTAATTTTCCAGTAAGAATTATTTCCTTTGCATTGCATTACCATGCTACTTGGCTGCTGGATGACATTTTGTGCGCACTCATACATGGTAGATGCTCTGGTAGTAATTGAAATAAGTGAAGTTAAAGAAGGTGGCTTACCTTGTGTCGTCCCATCCAGTCCCATGAGACATTTCATTGCCCTGATGATTTGCTCTGCTACGGGTGGACACATAGACGTGGCATACACAGCACTGTGAGAATGAGTTCGTAAGAAGTCCACAAGGTCCTTACACAAGCAAAACAAAGCATGAATGAGCTTTGAGCTGGCCAAACAGCAGAGCTCCCTCTTAACTACTGCAGGAGTGAGAACATGGAAAAGGAAGAGGATGTTTCACCAGTTACTGTTTTGCCTTCTTGGCTGCTACTGTTAATACATGGCCTGAAGAAACATCAGGCAGGTGCAAATACTTTACCATATAAATGGGGCAATTATAGCTGAAACAAAAGTCTGGAATAGAATAATGTTTACTTCTGTGCTAAGACATTATAAAGGAGCCAAAATCATTTAAAGACCAATGAACAGCTGCACTTAAAATACTGCTCAGTTCCTCTCTGGGAATGAAGCAAAGCCTGCGTGACATCAGTATAGCTCCTCTGCCACAAGACCTAACCCAGGAAAAGCAACCTTACTGTCTTTGGGACTGGGATCTGTCTTTGGCCATTAGCATATAAATTTCTTTCAATTGCAACTTTCCATCAGCATGTCAGGGACAGTCATGTTAGAGTTTGTATAGCTGCTTTAACATTTTCTTGTATAACTAAGAGCACAATCTGTGCTTCCAGAAAAAAGCATTAATGTACTGCAGGCATGTCTAAAGCACCAGTAACTCTCCTGAATCCAGAGACATTGCAGGAATTCAGCACTTGATTAAGACCGTAATTGTTATAACAGCTTATACCTCCTAGTGCAAAGTATCAGAGTAACAGTTACCACACTAAAAGATGTGTGCATGTTAGTGAGAAAGGGATGAGGCCTGCTTGAAAACTGCCTTTGATAAAAAATACCACCAGAAAAAAACCCAAAGATAGTAATACAAAGTATTGCCAAAAAAACCATATGAGTCTATGCAGAAACTCCAATACTAAGGATAAAGATTTACCTAACCTTATACAGGTTATGCATTGCTATATTGCAATTGTAATCCTAAGGGCTTGATCAAACATCTGAGGAGGCTTCTGTGCTCTAGCAGATGCAGAATAAATGGTGCCACAGTGAGGTTTTGGCTGCAGAAATGAATGTAAGTGTGCTAAGTGTGTTGGGTGAGCAGCTGCCATCAAGGCTCAGAAGCCTGAGGCAAAGATTAGTGATACACAGGTGTGAAAAGAGCAACCCACTTTCATTTAAGAGAACTTCCAAGGATTAGATAATGAAGGACTTTAGACTGCTTTTCACAGGTCTAGACTTCCTATAATTTCTAGCTAAATTAGCCATACTGTCTTTGGTAAGAGTTAAACCTTCTGATACACATTCAGGAAGCAAAGGTAAGAAATAAAATTGATTCTTGATATATTATGATAGCCTGTTTTAAGATATCCATGAGCAAAACCAAAAAAGAAAGAAATATACACTTTGTACTTTCTTATAGCCCTTTTATTCTATTCAAGTGCTGCCCTTATTAATGTTATCCTGACAACAACCACTTGGGCTGGCTAAACAGGCTTCCTACTCATTCAGCAAACTACTTAAGAAATACATTCAGCAGGGTTTGAAAAGGGTAAATAATCAGCAACCACTTGATATCTCTGTCAAGCAACAAAATCGATGAGATTTCACAATGGTGCTGATTACACTCTCTCTTCTTCTACACCCTCATTTAAAACAAACTCAGCTCTAGTTTTTGTTGACATCTGTCCTTGGCAAGAGGTTGTTTTGTTATGTACGCAGAGCAACTGAGGACATGGGTTTTACTATCGCAAAAGGCCTTCAGAAACCCTCTTTCTCTATCCTCCTAAAAATGCAACTATGACAATCCACAACTGCTTACGAATTTTATTATCAGTGGATGAAACTGTGGCTTTAATCTCTCAATATTGCTCCACACACTGTTTACAAATGTGAAACAAAGTAACGAGCCATCTGCATGCAAATTAATGCAGTGAAGTATATTTAGCCAACCACAACGTGTCTAAACGTTTCCAAGAGAAACAGCAACCGTCAGGGTGGCACAGAAACACCCAGCCCAAGCAAATTACATAATATGAACATGAGACAAAAATAAAAAAGTCTGATTGTTTGATGTGCATTTGGGATCCAGACAAAAATGGTACTAACTTTAGAACAGTGCTCCTGCAAAGCAGTCTATGCAAAAAGATAAAGAAATATATCATACATAATAAGAAGGTACTTCCCCCCCTTGATGTTAAAACGTTTGTTTTACTTTTACCTTTTTGCCAGCTATGTATCCTCCAGCTGCACCAAAGCTCTTTGTGAATGTTCCCATTAAGACGTCAACATCGTCAGGACTCATACCAAAATATTCCACAACTCCTCGGCCTGTTGCACCCACTGCGCCAATGCTGTGAGCTTCATCCAAGTAGAGGTAGGCTTTGTATTTCTTCTTCAAGGAGACAATCTCTGGCAGGCGGACAATGGACCCTTCCATGCTGTGGATGGAGAGAATCATGGATGAACAATAAATCCTGTACTCTCCTCCTCTTTAAGATACTGACAGAAATACATAGGCATTAATTGCCTTACTCCATGAAAGATCTTCTGGAACCTCAATTTGTATTTACAGTTCAAAGAAAAATTACAACCCTTTCCCATCTGCAGGTGAGTATAAAACAGTCAAACAATTTTAGAAGTCAAACAATCAAAACAAGTCAAAAAAGTCTTTGAACATTTGCAGATTTTCAACATGCCAGAAAAGAGAAGGAAAGGTATAAAGCAAGGGGGAGATGCTCACCCAAAGCAGCACATCACAATTCACTACAAAACAAACACTGTAAGGAGAGGAGGTGTAGAGCAAAATGAAAGCCCAGGGACATAAATAACAAATGCACTCTAATCCCATAAAAAAGAAGTATCAATAGTATTGCTGTGAAGACTATTATGTCTTAAAACCTTTGTGAGATGTCTACAGCTATGCTTGGATATGCTCTGATGCACTCAGTATTCATTTCATAATGAGTTAAACATGTTCTCTTCCACTAGCTCTATTGAGCAGGTCTTTGAATGCTAAATACTCCCTATCAAACACAAAGTGAGTGTGCTGTGTGCCAGTAAAACCAGTGCTCTGTGCCTAAGGCCTGTGGCTAAGGTGTATCTAATTGCAATTGCTGCAAGAGTTTCAGGTAAGCAGAAATGTTGAGTTTATTCCCAAATACCATGTACGACAGAGCAGTGCAATCAACAGCACTTCTTGGCAATTTTTTGATCCTGGATCAGTGGCTTTCACAGATTGTTTTCTTGCCGCTCTAGCTGCACTACACAGCTGGAAGTTTAGTACCACAAAAGGAGCAGGATGTGCTTTTAGCACTTGGGAAATTTCTGACAATTTTAGTCCTTCTTCATCCTTTGGTCTCCTCAGTAAGCTTGGAAACAACTTGGTCTCCAGTTTTGAAGGAGACCTGCCCATAGGCAATTCTCCTTTAGTTTGAAAGAACAGCATGGGGGAGCAGGCATGGACTGTTCACACTGGGATGTTCAGAGAGCCTGGCTGTGTGTGCCTGGAGGCATGTTTTTGGCCGTCAGGTGACTGCTGACAAATTTGCTCTTCTGTCTTGCCCAGCCATAGAAGAGGCAGCTGTGGGGCCGTATATCAGCACCAGTCTGTTGCAGCAGAGAAGGGTGGGCTTGCACTGCAAGCTCCTGAAGGCTGGGCTTTCTCACTTTTCCCAAATGGCATTTGGCAGCTGAGGGAGAATCAACTTGAGCCACCACAGCTATTTTCCTAATGACATACAAGGGCAGGGCCCACAGTCCTCACAGAGTCCAGAGTCAAAGCATTAGTCAGACAAAAACTATACCAAGCTACTGAGTGTGCTTGGGCACACAGCATTGTACATGCTGGCAACGGCAGCTTTTGCCTGAGTCTGGTTGGCCTGCAGGTTGGCTAAATGGTCAGGGTGAGAGTGGTGCCAAGGAGCACCTCTGCAGAGGGAGGGGAATAAGCATCCCACCATCCACCTTCCAGCAATAATTGAGCAGAGTAGCTAGGCAGAGAAGGACAGTAATAGTTTTCCCACATTTACATTGTCATCATTAGGCTTAGTGGCTTGTGGAGATTCAGATGGGAGAGACAGCATTTATCTTCAAAAAGATGAGTTCAAATGGTAAACTAAAAATACAGAGCTGGATTTGATGCACATTTGTGGAATGGACGCAAAGTTGTTGCTGAACCCAGAACATGCAGAGCTGGTGTATGACTGTTGCAATATTAGCCATTAAGAGGATTTAATGAAAACTTTTCTTACTAGCATGAGCAGGAGATTTCTCTTTGAACCCTAAGCTGTTTGGCAAAACAAGGCACTTGCAGTCAGTTTCAGTGCTGATTCACTGCTCCTGAAAGATGCTGGCTGGCATAAATGTTACCATAGTTGACAGAGATCCAAACATGACCTCGAAGTGTCCGCGGAGTAGATAAAGTGCTGCTGGTTTTGTGTACGTTTTCTTTGCTGCCATTCAAACAGGCCTCAGACCTCCTGATGGCAGAGATGAGAGCTGTTTTGCTGCCTACTCTGTTCTGGGTCTCTCTTTTGACCCTGGGAGATGGTTTGTGACATGAACACTGCTCTGTTTAGAATTGCTCCAAGATAAAGCTCACTTCACATAACCCCCTGAGTAGCCCAAATGGAAAGTTTACTGAATACTTCCATAAATATTGATATCGACTGAGTTTAAACCAGAGAGCCAGAAGTGAACTGTAATCGTTCTGTCTCAGTCTGGTTGTGTCACTTTTACAAAGCCATTGATCTGTCTCCAGATCTGCTCAAGCACACAGGGCGCGTTGAAAAAGCTGGATGCAGACAAACATAAGCTGGCTCTGCCCAGGCCAGACGTTCTTATTCCGTGGTATTACATCCTGTCTTGTAGCAAAAATTATTAGCTTGGTGACAGGGATGTAAAGCTTCTAGACTGCAGCTGACCCTTCATCGCCCTTTTTTGGCGGGCAGCCACAAAAGCAGGTGTCAGTACACACTCAGTGTGAGTCCACTTACAGATGTGAAGAGATAATCCAAAATTTTGGTATCACTGAATTTTGAGGCTTGATTCAATCCCTGCCAAACCACTAAGATTCTACCTGATGCAGCTGATGAATTGTGGAGCCAGGTGCTTTGAGAGACAGGAGGCGTGCACTCATGCTGGTCGCTTTTCTTGGAACACGTGCTTGCTCTTGACAGGATACTGACAGTTTTTGTCCAGTTTATTTTGAAACTTCTTGGGAAAAGAGTTTTCTATATCCTACTGTGGATGAAACCACAGTTTCAATTTTTTTTTTTTCTGTCAGGAAGATTAATTTACTGATATTCAACCTATTACCTTCTTCACAGTTGCACCATTCAACATCTCTTCTAAACAAGCCCTATAGTACCACTATAATTTCAACGTCTGAAAACTTTATGTTCCCCTTTCATACTATTTCATAATTGGGAAAATCCCTCCTTTCCTGATCTGTTACTCCCAAGACACATGCATTCCATTTTAATGTTTACTTTAGGTATCGTTTTCTTACATAAACCTTGCACATTCATACAACCATCTCTGTTCTGTAGTTTATAGCACTAGTTTTAAGGAAATCTTCTAACCCTGCCCTCAAATACAACCCCATACACTGAAACAATAGAAATGTTAACCTTTAATGCTGGTCCCTAGCCAAAGACATTAAATGTTACTCCATTCTTTTCTGGAAGTCCAGTCACTTAATCCCAGGAAATAAAAAATAACCCTGATAAATTTCCTATGGTATTGGCATTGAATCCCAAGGAACTTCCAACACACATGAAAAGGCACTGGACAATATCTATCTGATCAGAGAGCTATTTTCTGAGCTGGAAGGGAAAATACACAAATCAAATTAAAAGCAGCAAAAAAAACCCCAAAACAAAACAAATTAAAAACAATCAGTTTTGATCGGTTTCTGGTGCCCCATAATTGCTGCCCTCTGCCTTGGCCTATCTGACTTCTAGGTAAACGTGTGTGCAAGAGAGCAGAAGCCTACCACAAACTATGTAAGAGCACAGTAACTGACTAATCCTGAACTGGAAACGGTAGAAGCCAAGAAAAACATTAACTGGAACTTAAATAATAGAAATATGATTTAGCAAGTCAGTTTAACTTGTGCCCTGAATACCTTCAAAACTTGTTCATGGTTTTGGTACTGAAGATTGATGGCTAGATGATTTTTCTCTGTTTGGAATGCAAATTGAATATATTTGCTCCTAGGCTAGTCCAAGTCAAGAAACAGCTTTCTCCAGTAGTTACATGTACCTCTGATTATTTTTCCTTCTTTTTAAGATAACAGAGACATTGAAAAGCAAACAAACATATACTTATCACTATTTATTTGACATGTAGCTTGAGTGGTTCCCAAGTTGAGGCCAATTCTGCCTTCAGTTGTAACCAAGTAAAATCTGCGGCTTATGGTTTCAAACACAAGTCTGATTTCTAGAAATGCTCGTGTTGGCTAACAACGACCCTTTTCAAATTTTGCTAGGTAGTAAGTCCAGGCTTATGCACAGTGTAAACACTTTAACGTACTCAGAAACAAGGCAAATTTTTTCCATATCATTAACTTCACCATACTAAGACTATGATATCTCACATAACAATATTTTTTTAAAGGAGAAAATCTTAGTGTTTCTTTTGCATCTCTGGAAAAAGCATTTCTGTAAAAATTTGCCAAACCAAACTTGCAAGTCAAGGTATTTTAACTTGGAGAATGGCTCTGACCAAGTTATTGAAACTGAAGCATCCCTGAAGCATAACTAAGGTCCTTTAAGGAAAAAAAAGTTCTTAACTATTCTAAGAAGCATACATTAACAACACTCTACCTCCTCTTAAACCCTCCAGATGAATATTAATATGGCATCTAGCAAATCTTCAAGAAAACTATGAAAACTTCTATGAAAACTAACATTAGCCAATATGGGGTTGGAAAATTTTAGTTTATTTCAAAAATCATGAGCCAAAAAAGGAAAGAATATGCACACAAAAAAAGTAAGATTATTTCTAATATGTCTTTCTCCAGCTTTTCTTTTGCATACAAAATGTTATTAGCTACTTATTGGATTAGACTACATGGCCTGTGAGTCTGTTCCCAGCAGTGCTGTAAGGACAGATCAGCTGCATGTGTCTCGGACTAGCAGCGATGGCAGGGATACAACACAGTGGGGTGTGGTGGTATTCTCCCTCAAGTCAGAACAGAATTGCTTTGCAACGAAACCACAATCTTCAACTTCTGATCTGCTTAGACTATGAAAACAACTAAGCAACCAACCTAGCTACTGCTAGGGCTAGTTTCCAATGAGAGACTATTAGAGACCTGAGCTCTGTTTTTCTTTTACTTTACGTCTTTCACAAGCATAGACACTCAGGGCATGAGTGGTCTTAACATTATTTAGCCCTTATGGGGCTGACGGAAGTTTATGCTTCCTTTTCAGTGAGGTTCTCTGAAGTTTAACATGTTTTTATCTTGCATTGCAACAGAAGGTTCTTCAAACTTATGAGAATGAAATATTTGAAAATGAACTGCTAAACTAGAGGAAAAGAAAACTCTATATCAAATATACATCTGGAAATAGAGTTATTATAGTTGCAAATATCTGACAGTGGGTTTGTCCCACTGCTTGGACTTATCTATGCTTCCGTGTCACCAGTCTACCTTCTTGCTCCCTTGTGGTCAATATCCAGGGTAAAGGATTTAAAACTGAACCAAGCTCACCAGCTGGAGAATTTTCTGCAGGCCATGTGACCGCTGGGAATATTTGTTAGTAAAATGTTGGTGGTCCACTTAATTTCTGCATGATCAAAGTCCTTAAATCTGAGCTTTCTTTTAGGAGTGCCAAGCTATGTTTATTTGCAGTTTTGCTCTGTTTATTCTGGTTGAAAGGAGACGTTCAGCCTGCTTTGGATCAGCTGATCTGCTGCCGACCTGTTTCCGCTCTGAGTGACAGGTGTTTAGATAAGGACTGATTTGTTCTCTTTGCAGATGGAAAATGTTAGGTAAAAAGAAAGCACTGACAGCTATGAGGTTGTGATGACACGAGATCGTAAAAGATTCGTTATGAAAAAAGCTAATCAGCTCAACCATGCTAGCATTTCTCAATAAAATGGCATAAATGACTGCTCATCCAGATTGGCTGGGTTTCGGCAACACATGATATGATCCCTACATATAAAATTTAATGTTGCTTTCATAAACCGTGTCACATTCTGTGAATGAATGGTTCTGATTCCCTTCTCTGGTGCAGGTGTTGCTACTCCCAAAACTATCCTCCTACTCTCCACTTGTCATTGCCACAGTAGTCTTGTCTAGATCCTTGCAAAACCTCTTGCTGTCCAGATCTCTTCTTCTTCAGCCCTTCCCTCTTCTTCATGATCTCTACCTCTCCTTGCTCCAGCTCCTTGCCCACCAGTGGCTCCCCTTCCAGCCCCATGGCTGCCTCCCCAGCAACGTTCTCCTGACTTGAGCGGTTGCCAGGATGAAGCCCAGGATGGGGAGCCTGGCTGGTTCCTCTGCTTTGCTGCTCAACTCTAGTGATGGTTTGTCTCTCTTGTTGGGTATAAGATGCATCACACTAGTGAACTGGAGCTATCTGACTACAATGCTCTGTAATTACATGGTATTACTGATACTGATATTATCTGACGGATTCACAAAGGCACTTCTGTCATTCAAATTCCTCCAGGGAGTGAGGTTACATGAAATACCACTATATAATTCTTTGAAAGCCCATCTTTTTAATTGTTTTTCCTGTTAAAGTGTCAGTCCAGTACATCCAGCACTAATTACTAGAAAGGTGCTGATATCACTTTGCCTGTGTTTAGTTTGAGTTTTTGTATTCCAACAGCTGGGTAAGAACTGGGCATGCATAACTTAATTAGTTCTGCATAGTTGTCTTTTGATCTGCCCATGCATAACAAACAACTCTAGAAAACTCAGCTTACTCACTGAGCAAAACCCCTCACCTACTGTAACTCCATGAATGCTATCACATCTGTGACAACATACACCAGCTGATGATCTGTCTTACTCTTATAGTACATCTCCCACTCCACTGTGATTTGCTAAATCAACATTCAGAGCAACACACAAGATCTAATGAGAACAAGTTACACCAGGGCTCAGACTGACATAATGGAAATCAAAATATAAGACCACAGAATGTTATTGTAATCTCCACTCTCATAAAGATTTCTCTCACATACTTAGAGTCAATGTGCCCTTTACTCAATGTATCATTCTGTTCTCATAAATGATAAAGAGTACTCATGTTTCTAAAACACAAACATACCTGTAAATGCCCTCCACGAGGATGATAATTTTTCTCCATGCTCTGTGGCTTCGAGGCTGCCCATATATTACTGCATCCCTCAGCAACTGCTCAAGGCTCTGCATGTCTTTATTTAAATATAAGAAAAAGAAGGAAGGAAAAACATTACAAAGATTTGTCTAAAGAACGTTCAATTTTCTACTATGCACTATTTTTTCCTATATAGAAAAAGACATTAAAAGAAATGTGCCCTGAAGATAAACTTCATTTTTTTAGAAGGCAAAACCCAACAATTAATTGAATTTGCCTGAACGCAATCTAGTGACAAGCACAGTTACAAAAAGCTTCCAGTTATGCACCTTATCTGGGAAAGCTGTAGAAATTCTTGGCATACATTTTTATTTAAAGGCAAAAGGGAACCACTTTGCTTAAGTACTGAGGCTAATTGCCAGCAGTTCTCTGTATGGGTTGCTGATACTTACGATGTCTCAAAGCTTCTGAACAGTGAGTTTTTGGTTGCTTTCCAACATCACCACAGGCTCATGAATAACATGCATTCCTTCAGCTAAGGTTTGGATCATGCTGCGTGAAGCACATCAGGATGGCAGCAAGAGAAATCTTGTCCTTCTCAAGAAGGAAAGTGAATGAAAGATTGCTGATGAGAGAGGGATACAAGCACATGGCATGGATACACTAATTTGGTGCCAAAATGCTTGCCACTGGTGGGACTTTAATATAAGGAGGCCTGGAACATTAGAAACTTAGCTGCTTTCTCAAGGCCTGAGTGTGGGTAATCTAATAAAATTTTTGAAGGAAAACCACTGAAATTTTGAAAAACACAGAAGGAATAAGGGTCAGACCAAATGTGACTCTCAATGCAGAGCTGAAATCTAACTAGCATTCTGGTGCCTCCACGTGAATGTGTCTCTCCAAAATGAATTATTCCAGTCCTTTTCAGGAATCTGGATTGACATTTCAAAATGTTTTCAAAGAACACCTTACAGAGACTTGTAATACCCCAAGGAACACTATAGATCAGCTCAAATTGTGGGCTGAGAAAATCAATGGCATTTTTTCACAATGTAACCCCACTGCTGCTGCAACACTGTGTAGTTATCATAACCTTCTAAAATAGTACAAGGCTAATCTGTAAAATAGAATTGTCCCAAGTGAAGAAAAGCTCAGATACATACACCTTAGATACATTAATATTGACCTATAGTTTGGTTTCCACCTGACTGAAACCAGGCTATTTGCACAGTAACTGTCCATCACGAATAACCTATGACCTGAGAGGTTATGACTGAACCCTTCCATCCTGATACCTCACCTCTCCTAGCAGCATTATTGATGTCAGTGACAGATAATTTTTTCAGAAATACCTGTGCCACTCTACACCTTACCGCATAATCTCTTGACCTAGCAAAACCTTGTTATAATTGACAATGCACAAAACATGCACGATAAGTTGCTCAGGGAGCTCCGAGATGGAAGCAGGTGAATAATGCAATGCAGACAGCACACTATCCACTAGATGGCAATCAAAGACATAAAAGTTCCCTTATGCTTTAAAAAGGAATTTGGAACCTAGCTGAGCATTTGCAGCACATACGTATTTCTTAGAAGAGAGCTGCTTATCTTCTCTTTTGTTTTGAGTAGATGATATTCAAAAATCCTTCTGAGTTATGAGCATTAAGGGATTCATCAGCATGACAGAAAGCACACTCAGTCACTCAAAGTAAAATTTGGGCATCTCCTTTTCTCCACTGAATTATTTCTGTACCAATGTCATAGTCATCTAAATCCTTTTGGGACCTTTGAAACCCTCCTCTGAATCATACAGGATCTTTAAATTCAGTATTCTGTCTACATGTCAGTCCAGATTGGTTCTAAAATTCAGGAAAGTCAGTTTGCCCAGCCCTCTGAGCTAAAAGCATGGCTTGCAGTCAGCTGTTTTAACATAAATGCACATGAAAAAAGGAAGGG